TCGCATTATACCTTCTACCAAATGCAGAGGGCCAACATGCCACCATGTGAAGCACCCCCAAACCATTATGTTTCCGCCAACATGTTTTACAGTTTGCCTCACATGGTGCCTTTGAAGACGTTCACCGGGCTTGCGCCAGAAGTATTGCTTTCTATCTGATTGAAAACGGTTAAACTTGGATTCATCAGACCAGATAACACGTTTCCAATCTATAGTAGTCAGGTTTTTGTGGTCTTTAGCTAATTTCTAACGTGCTTTAACGTTCTGGTCAGATAATGCAGGTTTGCTTTTTTTGCGCTTGACTCATAACCAATGTTATGCAGTGCTCTCCTGGCCGTCCACTGGCTAACATTTTTATTGATGGCCATAGAAGCACCCTTTGGTGTTAGCAGATTGTCTTTTCGCATTTGGGACATCATAAGTCGAGCATCTGATTCTGTCAATAATTTGTTTCGCCCTTTGACTAGCGGTTTGGGAGTCACATTTCGCCTTTTTCGAGCTGCAGTCACCGCAGATTGGCTTATACCAAGCCTTTCGGACATAGTTCGTGGGGAAGCCCTTCTCAGTGAGGCACACAACCCTGTTTTTAATTTCTGGAAATATTTTTCTCATTTTAATGTCAAAAATCAAAAATTTTCTATTTAAGATAGTGCCTTATAGAAAAAACAAGGTATGATTCGCACGCAACAGGTATTAAACTGCACTACGACTAATAAGAATAGCACAATAACAATTCTCAAAATAAATTTGCCCGATCATACTGATAAGAAAGGTGGAAGAGCGAAAATAGGAGCAAGTCATAAAACATGCAAAAGTGAGTTTATGCGGATTTTTTTTTGGTTTCTTCATTCTAACTTTTAGAATTTACCTTATACGATATTGTTTCTTTTTCGCATTTGTTATGAATAAAATGGTAAACATAAAAAAATTTACTTTGCTTGATTATCCCGTACCGTTAGGTTTTTATGGGCGACGAAAATCAGTTTCGTGAACATGCACTCACTTTTGCTCGCCACTGTATATGTCCGATTTCAATTTAGTTAACACCGTAATTCCATAGTATTTAAATATTACCAAATCCCAAAGAACACAAAAAAAATAAAAAACAAAAAAGGAAAGCTAACTTCGGGCGGAGCCGAAGTTAATATACACTTGCAGAATATTCTGTAAATTATATTCTCCAAAATTATTCATATGATGAATTCTTAATTCTCAAAAAAAATCCCAACTTCCTAACTTTAAAAACACCAAAGTTATGACATTTCCGATCGTTCATTATGAAATCACTATGAAATTTGGTAGGTCGGATTGATAGGCCAAAAATAAAACCCATAGAAAATTTCAACTTCCTAACTTTAAAAAGTCCAAAGTCCAAAAATTTGGACAGAAAATTGTGGGCTATAATAAATTATTTGTTTACGTACAAAAAAAGTTAGTTATTAACATGTAAAGTGTAAGAAAAATATTTCTAACATAAAACTTAGTTGTTTGACCGAAATAAATAATAATTTTAAGTGTTATCTTATGTAAAAATACTTCTAATTCATTTAATTTTAACTGGATACTGCTGCTGTTAAAATAATAATAGATTGTGGTTGTTTTCTTATGCAATATAATGCTCTTTTTGAACAACATATGTAATCTCGGTTCATTGTTAGAAAAAAGAAAGAAAATTTTTTACTCGGAAGCAATGTAACCACAAAAAGATGTCCGGCACTTTGGTCACTGTTATTTTTATAACACACTCTTACGGTTCGTTTTAACTCGTACTTTTGTTAGCAATCGGATTTTGTCGTCGTTCAAGGTGAAAGGAAAATTTCGCAACAAAACGCGCAAGTGAGAATTGGTTAAAAACAACATTTTCACTTAAAGGAACCCTCGCCATTCTCGGTTTCAAAAAATCAATTTTTTTAAATTTAATTTGAACCTTTAACTATTCAAGAATGTTCCTTTTAAATTTGAACTGAAAATTTCTAAAACTTTTGAAGGTATAGCCGATTTATGGTGGAAGGGTCAGTCGACGGCGAGAGCTTCTCAAAACTTTAAACGAGTTTTTCTCGAAACATTATTTTTGCGACTGGCGCATGAGGTTACTCAAAAACTATTAATCCAATCGGTTTCAAACTTTAATACGTTATTCTGTACATATATAGCTATGGCATGAACTATTATACATCAAATCGGTGAAGATCTTCTTTACTTTTCAACTAGATTTTTGGCTGAAAAAAGGCGATTACCAAAAAAAAATTTCTAAGGTCCGCCATTTTGTTCATTTTTGTTCGAAATTAATAATCCTAGTTCATGCCAGACCCAAACATGTACTCTTCCTAATCCCGTTGGAGCTTTTGGTTTCCGATGTTGACATATATTTTTACGTGACATTTTTTTATACCCTTGCAGAGGGTATTATAATTTTGGTCAGGAGTTTGTAACGCAGTGAAGGAGACTCTTCCGAACCCATAAAGTATATATTCTTGATCAGGATTAATAGGGGAGTCGATATAGCCATGTCCGTCTGTCCGTCTCTTTCCATACCGTTTGCGAGCTCAGTTTACAAGCTAGCGATCTGAAACTTTCACAGCCGTCTTAAAACATGTGTACGCAGATCAAGTTAAAAAAGCGATCGGACAGCTATATCCTATAACTCCCATAGGAACAATCGGCTATACCTTGCAAGAATTTAAGATATTGAAAATTTTTCGCGCAGTGTAAAAGCTATTGTCATGCATCTTTCCAAATTATTTTTTTTATGCATTCTTTGATCAGGTTAAGAGCGCGTGCCGATCGGACGTCTTTATTCGATAGCTCCCTATAGGACCCCCATGGGGTCAAATCGGTTAAAATTTGATGTTTTCAGGATATTTTGCGCAGTATATAAGCTATTGACATGAATCTTTCTAAATTTTATTATCTTAATCAGGGTAAAAACGCATGCCAATCGGACGTCTATAGCTCCCATTGGAACAATAGGGTGAAATCGGTTAAAATTGGTTGTTTTTCATGATATTTCACGCAGTTTATAAGCTTTTGATATGATTCTTTCCAAATCTTATTATCTTGTTCAGGGTAAAAGCGCGTGCCAATCGGACGTCTATATCCTATAGCTCCCATAGAAACAATAGGGTGAAATCGCTTACAACAGGATGCTTTCTCGGCCGGGGTACAGATCTCAGTCGAATCCAAGAGTCCTTTACAAGAAATTTGTAAATCACCGAAAGACCGGACTAGAGAGTTCCGTTCTGCAGGTGAACGGATGATTTTGATGGGGAGTCTGCACCGAAGGTTCTTACTGGTGTCGACGGAAACGTGGACGTGTAGAATCCTTGTCTTGTGTTTCGCGTCAAGGGCGAAAAATCCACCGGGCTGGACCTTCGGGCGAGGCCGAGCCGGGAGGATACTTTGCGGGCGTTGGAGTCCTGGGTGTCGCGTCAAGGGCGAAAAATCCACCGGGCAGGACCTTCGGGCGAGGCCGAGCCGGGAGGAGACTTTGCGGGCGTTAGAGTCCTGGGTCTCGCGTCAAGGTCGAAAAATCCACCGGGCTGGACCTTCGGGCGAGACCGAGCCGGGAGGATACTTTGGAAGGGGCCGGATAGTAAGGGGACAGAGGGATTCGACTCGATTTCATTTCATTCATTTTTATACCCTGCAAAGCAGTGAATTTCGACCCTATAAAGTATTATATATTCTTGATCAGCATCACCAGGAGAGTCAATCTAGCCATGTCATTCTGTCCGTTTGTCCGCCCGTCCGTCCGTTTCTACGCAAACTAGACCCTCAGTTTTAAATCTAGATCTGCTTGAAATTTCCCAAACGTTGGCTTTCTATTGCAGGTAGTAAAAAAGTCAAAACGAACCGACGATTTTGACAAAACGAAAATCATAATTCTGATATGGTAAATTATTACTGTATCTCAAAGGAAATTTTTAATTTCGAGCTTTTTTTAACAATAAATAAAAAAAATCACCAAATATATTTACTCTCCGTTTTTTGTTATCATTTGTTTATTAAACTTAAAATAAATTTTAAAAAAAATATTAATGATCAAGTTCGTCCTTGAAGAAGAGGGGGAAAAAAGAGGACGTGTCCTCGTCGCCATGATTTCTACCCTTGTCGTCATCTGAAAAATAAAAAATAAAAGATTCTTAATGAGTACGAATGTCGCTAAGGTATCTAGCAGCAAAACCAAAAAAAATTGTTTCACTAATTAAAGAATATTCATGCCGAATTTCAAGTAAATCGACTGATTAGAACTTGAGATATTGTAGTAAGTAGTTTGTAAAAAGTAGTTTCGAGAAAAACCCGTTTAAAGTTTTACGTTAAGTTTCGGGCAGAGTAACTGATAGATATTACGTATAACTTACATTCTCTCAATCAGCTATCCCAGCTCCATATTATGACATTCAAACGATTTGTGTAGTATACTGGAAATGAGGGTATTGTTATAGAAAGAAGGAGAGAAAGTTATTCATACTCAGGTAGCCCGGGCCTCCAGCCACCTCTTGTTCCAGTCGTTCACTCAACCGGTCTAGTTGTCACGTCACTAAAACGGCTATAACTTTGAAAAAAATTTGAGTTTTGAAAAATCCTCATAGAAAATCCTAGCTTTACAAACACAAAAGTTATGGCATTTCCGATCAATTAGTTATATACTGCGTGCAAAGAAACGAAGGATGTCAATTTGATATCTTTAAAACTGAGAGACTAGTTTGCGTAGAATCAGACAGACGGACATGCTTAGATCAACTCAGGACGCGATCCTGATCAAGAATATATATACTTTATAGGTTCGGAGATGTCTCCTTCACTGCGTTGCACACTTTTGACCAAAATTATAATATCCTCTGCAAGGGTATAAAAAGTGCACGTCATATTCCTAAGACATGGTTAATTTTTTCGACTAAAAATTATAAACATCCAAAGATTGATTTACCATTTTATTTCGTGTCGCAAACGGATAAAAAATATAATGTAATTAATGAAACTCACCCATTTAAACATAGGTTTTCAAAAATGCGACATACGTCCATTTGTGGTTGAGGGTCAACAAGTTGGTCTCATTAAATCAGATGTTCTTAAGCATCTCGAGAAGTATCCTGAAGTATTTTGCATTCGTGACTGCGAGCAAACCAAACAGGTGAGTGTGATCCATGGTAAGAATGCAAGTACAAGTTATTTTTTATAACCACAGGGCTTGGTCGAGCTGAATCCAGCATTTCGGGACTACAACGAACGCACTGAGCAACTGGAAAAAGTTTTGCGTAACCTGCGTTCTGAGGGGTTGTTTCCCGCCTTACAGGGATGGAGGGACGAGTACTTTGAGGTGAAATCCGAGCGCAGGGCACTGCTAAAAATGGAAAGAGCGGCAACTCCCCTCTTTGGTGTACGCAAGTATGGCGTTGATATAAACGGTTATGTACGGCATCCGACGCATGGAATATGCATTTGGCTGCAGCAGCGTTCCAACACAAAAGAAACATGGCCTGGAAAGTGGGACAATATGGTAGGCGGTGGACTATCTGTAGGTTTTGGTATTAAGGAGACCGCCATTAAAGAGGCTGCTGAGGAGGCATCAATTCCATATGATCTTGTCAAGAATTTGGTGTCTGCAGGATGCGTCTCATTTTACTTTGAAAGCCGGCAAGGGCTTTTTCCCAACACCGAATACGTATTTGACTTGGAGCTGCCGCTGGACTTTGTTCCCCAGAATTCTGATGGAGAGGTGCAGGCCTTTGAGCTTCTCCCAGCCAAAGAGTGCGTGGAGCGTGTTTTCACTCCGGATTTTAAGACAACTTCAGCGCCGGTGGTTATTGATTTCCTTATCCGACATGGGCACATTACTGCAGATGATGGTAAAATGTAACTATAAAGACCATTGACCGAAATATTCATTATTTTTTTAAATTGATTTTTTGCAGTGGTGGATTTTACGCAAATTGTTGAGCTCTTGCACGTGCCATTACAGTCCCTTTACACTTACAGGGCGCGCCTGGAGCAGGCCAAGAAGCACCAGCAGAACTTGCCAGGCGATGCCAGAAATTGCCGCTGTGGAAGCCTACAGAAAAAGTCGGTGGAGAACGGGCATAAGAAGGACACTTAATCAAAAACTATTTTTTTAGGGAATATTGATTAGGAGGTCTTTAAAGCCAGTTTAATTTTATACGTCACAATAGACTGGTAATGAACCGAAATTTCAAACAGCCAATAACGGAAGTGACCAGGTTGTGTGTGACATAACCAAATAATAATATCATAACCAAACAGAAAGACAAATGAAGAAACGATCAAAATTATAATTACCATCTGCAATGGCGAAAACACATTGAGGTTAATGCCAGAACTTCTATTTAGATGTATGAACAACTTAAGCTGAAAATTTTATGTCGTATGTAAAATTATGTGCTGTTTTATATAAAAATGATAGAAGTAAATACTTTTTTTAGTTAACTGAAAACATTTATTATATACTATTAAATCTATATTTTTGTCAAACTTGATTATAAACCTACTATTATAATTGTTTAATGCTTGAAAATTCCATTTGTTTTGTTAAAATACGCGGCCATTATTAAACATTTGTTTGCAATACTAATAGTACAACAATATTCGATATTAAAATGACATTCACTACTATATGTGTCTACCAAAGTGCTCAAACTTAAGAGAAATCGACATAATACTAGATAGGTTTCTGTTGAATTTGTAAATTTTTTGTAACTTAATAAACTATTAAAAAAATGTTTAATTCGCCCACACGATGTTTATTGGGTGCGGGCCATTTTTTTCTTTGGTTTCCAGCAGTTTTTTGTATCTTAAAAACTTGAAGAAATATGTAATTGTTTTTTATACCCTTGCAGAGGGTATTATAATTTCTGTCAAAAGTTCGCAATAAAGTACGAGGGCAGTCCGATAAGTACTTAGCATCACCGCCCGATGGCATCACTATCGCAAGAGAAATTTACTATCGTGTAATATTTTCTCGTAGAAGGCTACTGTCGAAATTTCAGCCGAATCGGACTCGTAGTTTTGTTTTGACTACGTGTGGAATCGGACGTGTCCGCGGATTTTAGAAAAATGGAGAAAGAGCAATATCGGTCTGTGATTCGATTCTTGTTTTTGGAAGGAAATCGCGTAGCGAAATCAAAAAGCGCTTGGATGCTGTGCACGGTGAATCTTCTCCTTCGATGGCGACCGGCAAAAATTGGTGTGCCCCTAAAACGTGACAAAAATCCAAGATCTCGTATTGGCAGACCGCCGATTGAAGATACGCGAGATAGCTGAGACAGTAGGCATGTCAAAAGACCGCGTGGGTCATATCCTGCATGAAATCTTGGGCATGAGAAAGCTGTCGGCGCGATGGGTACCGCGTTTGCTCACTCAGGACAACAAACGCAACCGTAAAACCACTTCAGAGCAGTGTTTGACGCTGTTTAAGCCCAATCCGAAGGAGTTTCTGCGTCGTTTCGTAACCGTCGACGAAATATGGATCCACTGGTACACACCAGAGACCAAGGAACAGTCGAAACAGTGGATTTCACATGGCGAACCTGCTCCGAAGAAGGCGAAGACTGTCCCATCGTCCGGAAAGGTGATGGCCACCGTTTTTTGTGATTCACAAGGTGTGATCTACATCGACTACCTGGAGAAGGACAAAACGGTCACAGGGCTGTACTACGCCGAATTATTGGGCCGATTCGCCGCCGAATTGCAGAAAATACGGCCCCATTTGGCGAAGAAAAAGTGCTCTTCCATCATGACAACGCACCGGCTCACACTTCCGCCCTCGCCAAGGCCAAATTGGTCGAATTGGGCTAGGAACTGCTACCGAAATTTTTAATATTATGTAATTACGGTTTTAGTTAAGGGGGTATAGTTAATTCGGTGCAAAATCGGTAATTTTTTAAGAATTTTTGTTGGCGATACGGAAAGCTTTAGCTCAATTTTGGTTTGCATGTAATAGGGCAACAGTTAAACAACAAATGTGAATTTCATCCAAAAATTGTAAAAATTAAGTGAGATACAGGTAATCTCAGGCGGCGCCTCGAAGAAAACACGTTTTGCGGTGTACACGAAAAATGGTCACAGAATCATATGAAATGAAAAAATCAAATTACATTAGTTAAAGGAAAAGATTCCTCAGGTAACGCTGTCGAGTTTTTTTTCGATTTTTTAAGTCACTTAAAAGTCAAAAACCCCGATATTGGCCAAAAACGTAGAGATATTTCTTGCTAAAAATAATAAATTTAAAAAAAAAACTCGATAGCGTTACCTTGGGAATTTAGTAGAGAAATACTGTGCAAAAATTTTTTTTTGAATAGATTTATTGGTTTTTCTGTTAACTGAATAAATCCACTACTATCTTCTTCTAAACTTGCTGGGTGCCCTGACTAAAATGGTTCTCCTCGATTTTGATTCTGGACAACGCATCGGCTATAAGATTCTGTTTGTTTAACTTTCAGCTATGTAAGTTTGATCTGTATCTACATTTGCTCCTATTTTGAGACAACAAGTCATAGGTTTGGCTATATCGGCTTAATTCAGACTGAATTTACGGTAATAACCAGTCATTCCGAGAAATGCTCTAATTTCTTTACCCTTTTTTGGTATTGGTTATGAGGTTATGGCTTTGACCTTAAGAGGATTTAGTTTTTTCTTTTTCAGAAATGCACATTTGTCCAATTGCAGCTTTAAATTTTTCCTCTGATACTATCGTCTAAATAGACCAAACAATGTTGGTTGAGCAATGGACGAAGTAGGTTATTCATGCGCCTTTGGAATGTATCGGTTGCATTTTCAGACCGAATGGGATGCGAATGTAGTCATTATGACCACGTTTGGTTGAAAATTCAGTTTTTTGGGTGGAATCTGAATCCATTTCTATCTGGTGAAAGCATTTGTCTAAGTCTATTGTGGTAAAATAATTTAATTTTATTTAATTTTCCTACTTTACCAAGTATTTCGTCAATGATGGGTATGGTGTACCTGTCGGGAATGGTAATTTAATTTAGTTGTCTGTAGTCGATTGCTACTGTGTATTTTATATTGCCCGAAGCATCGGTTTTTTTGGGTACAACCCAAGTAGGGCCACTATAGGTGAGTTGCTTTCTCTAATTAGTCCCTGTTCAACAATTTCTGGTATCTGGTTTTCCACCTTTATTTCATGTATTTCTGCAAGGAAGTAATGTTTTGAATAAATGGGAGGGTTATGTGTTGTATTTTAAACATGTTTAATACTATTTGTAAATGTCAAAGGATTCCCTTCCAAATAGTGCAGGTTTTTAAATCTACCTAATAATTTGTATACCCTTGCAGAGGGTATTATAATTTCAGTCAAAAGTTTACAACGCAGTAAAGGAGACTTTTCCGACCCTATAGTAGGTGTATATATATTCTTGATCAGCATCACCAGGATAGTCGATCTAGCCATGTCCGTCCGTCCGCCCGTTGCTACGAAAACTAGTCCCTCAGTTTTATCTGCTTGAACTTTTCCCAAAAGTTGTTTTTCTATTGCAGGTAGTATATAAGTCGGAACGAGCCGCATCAGGCGATTATTTAATACTGAGCGCACCCTGAGCTTCGCTTGCGATGTCTTATGTTTGCATTATTTCTATCTCCATACAGGAAGCTCTTAAATATTAAAGCCTAGTATCCAGATCGACAAACGATTACGCTAGCGTAAAAACTTTAATTTTTCCAGTGTGACCAAAAGTTTGAGAGTTCATCAGAGTTAAGCGTGCTACGGTCGTACTGTCAATCAGCTGGGTTTGTTGACAAGCAGTTAAAATTCAAATATCGTATTTGCGGGAAAGAGCCTTTAAAAGATATTATCAAATACCTTGGCAAGACAAGTCTGCCGCTGTACAAAGAAATTGAAAAACAATACAATTTAAATTTAACAGTTGTTTTTTTTAATTTACTGATAATTATTTGCTAATTTAAAGTTCATAGCTGCACTTTTATTGTGTTTTTTCGTACATTTTGGACCTAAAAAACATTTTGCTCTGACAAGAGGCACCCCAGATAGTATTAATGTTATTTTGTCCTCACATGTAAACACCTGCAATCGACTTTTGTGAGTTTTTTGAGTTTTTCCCTCCATTTCTTATAATGTTCAGTGAGAAGCGCACGCCAAAAGATTAAATTTTTTAATCTTTTCGCTAGGGTTCACCCAAAGTTTATTTCCGCAGACTGGCAACGCTATGGAATTTTCTGGTATTTTTTTCGTCGATCAGGAGACCGAAGTGAAAAAAAGGCCCGACGAAAAGTGAACGCCAGCTGTTTGCCTCTCGCTCTCTCTCATGACTGGCGCACGGTTTACGTCGAAGTGGATACTAGGCTTAAGACAATATTTTTTAAATAGTGCAATTTATGCAATGTTTATATCGAATAATATGATTAAAAGCTACAAAAACGCATTTATATATGTACAAAATGCAATTATGCTAATTGGTATATCATAACGGCACATAATAAAAAATAACCAAATATTCATTTAAATGTAAATCATTTATGACTTTACTAATTAAGAATAGTAAAAAACGAAACTAACTGGCATAACTCACCAAATTTTTAAGTTAACATCGAGATATCAACAAATTTGCACATTCTATAGAAAAAATTAAAATTCCGAGAAAGGCGAACTAAAATAATAATATTATTGCTCACATACGTTTATACACCAAAATACACGGTTATGCAAAGAGATTTTCCTATTAATTAGGCAAAGCCTACTCCTTGCCTAATTAATAGGAAAATTATCACATAAAAACACAACTCGCGGCAAATTTTCTTGATACGACTCTGACCAAATTGAAAGTTTCCCCGTTAACTTCTTCTTTTGCGCACTTGCTACACACTTTCCTCTCTCTCTATCTACTGCGATCTCCCGCTCTTATGTTTCCTAACAGCGCGTGGCAAAACATTGTAAAAATAAACACCGCAAAAAACAATTTGAATGGTATATTTTTACTACACTATCAAAAACCGGGCCAAATAGATTTTCGCCAAAATAAACGTCTTTTGCGTATTCTGGCAGCAATAACTCTAAAGAGCA